TTTCTTGTATTATTTATAGCCTTTTTATCATAGACAAAGATGGAAATATAGTGATATAATATTTGTATTTTAATAAATACATATATTGCTTATAAATAAATAAATATATTATTTGTATTTTAATAAATCCAGGACAGGCAGGATTGTTACACAGAGAAATCCTGTTTCAGAGAGAGAGAGAGAGAGAGAGAGAGAGAGAGAGGATAGTCTAACTTATGAGGCAGAAATAGTTACCTTCCATGATTTCTAGTCTCCAACCCCATTTCATGGCGCTAAGGAAGTAAAACATTAGCTCCAGATTCTTTGTTGATAAAAATGAACGTATTGTATTGCCATAAGTGGATGTTTTAGTTCTTTTATACTACTGTAAAAAAATGCCAAAGATTGGACAACATACAAGTTTCTCCTCACAGTGGTAGGGGCTGGCAAGATCGGGAGACTGGCAGATCAGTGTCTGTTGAGGAGCCACTCACCTGTTCACAGATGACTGGGCTGCCCGCAGTGACCACATATGTTGAAAGTGGCAAGCAAGCTCTCTGGAGTCTTTTTTTTTTTTTATAGACACTAACCCCTTTAAAAATGATGTAATCACCTCTCCAAGTCCCTACCTGGTGGGACCCAAATTCCTCATACCATCCCAGTGGAGGCTAGCATGTAAACTTTAGGAGCATGCAGACATCTATAACAGTGGCAAACATCTAATTTTACAAAGGGGTGTAAAACAGGTCGTGCCCCTGAAAATACCAATGCTCATCAACTCCAACAGCAAACTAGGATTATTAAGCAGATGGCTTGTGAGTATAGATAATGAGGGGGTGATCACTAGGAGCCATGGTAAGTTCAGCACAACTAATCACATAAAACTGAATTTGTTTTAATAGGATTACTAGATCAGGACCAACCGTAGACTGTATGAAGTAATTGTTGTGTGTAAGTTGAAGCAATATGGTCATAATAGTTTGGTATGCATGGTGATGACTGGTTGCATAATCATATTTAGAACACAAATGCTTTAACAGGAGGAAATATTGCAAAGTGTTTCAAGTTTGGCTTCTAGAACCAAATTGCCTGGGTTTGAATATTGTTTTTCTCACAGCTTTTTTTTTTTTTTATCTTAGCCAAACTTCTTCATCCTTTAAACTTCAAATGTTTATCTGGAAAAATAGTAGTAATACTGATTGTACTTGTTTTTTAATTGTCATGATAATGAAATGAATTATCATAGAACATGTAGAATAGTGTACCCTTAATAAATAATATGTAATAAATTCCCTCAATAAATGAAAGCTGTCTTTTTAAGCAGAGTGGAAAACCTGCAATGACTCTGTTATGTAAGCTATTTGATATTTATGTTCAGAACTTGAATGAAGTCATAAGAATGTTAACTTAATGTTAACCCTGATCTAGAAAAGAATGAACCAGCACATTGAATAGCAGAATCAGGCTAACAATAGACCCTAGCAAGCTTCAAGATAACCTAGACTTGGCAAAGTAAAATGGTAACAATAAATATGGAATCCTTTCTTTAAATGGAGCAATTGATTTTACCTGCTTAAAAAACTTTGAGGATGCTTCAGTAGATGGAGGAGCTTGCTGCCAATCCTGGCAACCTAAGTTCAGTCCCCTAGAACAAGCACCAAAAAGCTGACTTCCACACTTACACAGTGGAATGTGTGCAAACACATATTCTCGTTCTCTCTCTCTCTCTCTCTCTCTCTCTCTCTCTCTCTCTCTCTCTCTGTCTCTCTCTCTCATACACACACACAAAAATGTTTTTTAAAGTCTGTAAATTGTAAGAATTTTTTTAGATTTTTGAGACAGGGTAGCTCTGTGTAGCCCTCACTGTCCTGGAACTTGCGTTGTAGATCAAGCTGGCCTTGAACTCAGAAATCCACCCGTCTCTGCCTGCCAGAGTGCTGGGACTAGAGCGGAGTCACTAGGCCTGGCAAGGTTTTTAAAAAAGAACTTTGGCTAGCTGTTTGGCGCCTTAATGTTTCAGAAAATAATTTAGTGACAGAGGAAGAAATAATCCCATTAGAGTTTACTGTATCAGAGCATATATTTGATATTCATTCCAGACATTGCAGTCTCATAGAATCTCCAGAAAACTAAGACAGTAGTCCAGCAAAAACACACTTTTAACCTGATAAAAGGTGAAGATATTAAAATAACCTTCAAATACCTGAAAAGATATAAAAAGATAGAATACATGTTGGATTCATATAGTAAGACCCATTTGCTTCATGTAAAGAGTGTTATGATTTTCACTCCTTAAAGGCAGACTGGGCTAATTGTGAACAACTACACTCCAGCTTCAAAAGTTTTAAAGCAGAGGTCAGATATCTACTCTTTGGGATATCACAGTTCAGGTATTGGGTGTGAAATTACTCCTTTAGGATATCTTCCAATACTAACATCCATCCTCTAATGGATAAAAGACTTCAGTTTACACATGTTGACTTTCATTGTATTTTCTTCATGGATTAATGCTGGTCATTTGTAACATACAGTACAGTTTAGGTTCCAGAGTGATGTTAGTACCACTTGAAAGTGAATTTAGATGAATACTTTGGTTGCCAGTCATCAGAAAGATCTATACCATATACACAGCAGTCTGCTGCTCTTTCAAAAAGTGATTTGCACATGGGTTCAAAATCAGATAGTCTGGATAGGGTGGTACATGCCTTTAGCACAAATATTCAGGAGACAGAGGCAGGATTTCTGTGTTTGAGGCTAGCCTCATCTGTATATTGAGTTCCAGGACAGCCAGGGCTGCCCAGAGAAACCCTGTCTCAAAAAACAAGAGAGAGAATATCATATAGATAGGCACTCCTTTGAGAAATTTTAGAGTACAGAAAAACTTACTGAGTATACCCAGGATATAGTCTTTTAAGTCCTTAAGAGGTAAGGAATAAATAAATATAAAATTGTCTAAAAAGTTCTGCATCAATATAGACATGTGTTTGCTAACTTATTTTTATTGCTCGCATTATGACTTCTGCCACCTTTTGGTCACTAGAAAGCCGTCTTTGAGTAGTCTCTCAGAAAACCCCCAATGAACAGCGATGATTAACATCTCAGTTTAGCCATTATATTTCATGTTTTAAAGTTAATGATATCATTAAGACAGTGATATAGCCTCAAACAACTATATTTTTAGCATTGGAATCTAAATAATAAAGTATTTTTCATGAAAGTTCTTCCTTTAAATATCAAACACATATAGAGTGATTTGTTGGTGCACATGTTTCTATGCAAAAAAAAATACAACATCTTGACAAAAAAAAGTGTGCTTTTTTAAGCTTCTATAGCAGACCTTTAAATACTATGTGGAAGATGTTTGAAGACAGCCTTGGTTAAAAGATAATAGTACAGTGCCTTGTTCTCTTATTTCTTTAGATAAGTGGCACTAGAAATTATAGATAATTTTGGCAAGAGTTCAAGGGTTAATGTAGCAGATAAATAAAAGGAATTTTCTGTAAATTGAGACCTGCATTATTTCAGTTGTCTTGTCTTTCCTAACCTAACTCATTTAATTTTAAAAAGTAAATACTTAAATTCTTCCTGACAGTGTGCTCAGCTTTTACTATCATTTATTACTTCAATTATACTTGATATCACTTAGAACAATCTGCCATTTGGAAATCTCAGGATAGCCTGGAGCTTAGTATTAGATCTGGCTGCTATTGTAACATGTACAGCATATGACATTAATGTATCAGAATTAGATTGGATCATCCCTCCTGGTTACATTTATTTCACATTTCTTTTGTATTCAGTTAACATAAACCTATTAGGGAAGCTGACACATGGGGATGGCTGTATAGGAAGGATATTTTTAAAGTATTTTGATTAAAAAATGAAATTATGGGGCCATAGCTTTTCTAGGCTCTGTAATCTTTTTCTTTTTGTTTTTTTCTTTTTCTTTTTTTCTTTTTCTTTTTAGAAATGGCATAGTCTAAGTCTGCATTTATGTCATGCCTGTTTGTATACAAAGTGTAAGTAGTCAATTCCTGGGCTAAGGAGGAACTGAAAAGATCCTTTCAGAAATTGAACTTTAGTCCTCTTTTTGTTTGTCAGACATTAAATTCTTCTATACCTGTCGTATGGTTTTTAATCCAACAATTGCATATATAAAAATAGAAATCACCATACATTTTCTCAGACTGGCTTTATTCTTCTTTCGTCTTCTAAACTTTCCCAACCACAGTGTGGCTAGATACCCGACAGTAATGGAAAAGCCAGGGGAAAGCATCTACCAAACATAGACTCACATGTTCCAGATATACAGATGACAGAATTTTATAATAAAATTGATGTTTATACCATAATCTCTATGAGGAAAAGTCAGTAATATAGATTGTGTTCATTTTTTAACAACTCACTAGAAACACAACTTTTAATACTTTTCTTTCTTACAGTTTTAATTATTATAACAAACCCTCTCAAGATTGCCAGGAGCACCTTTGTCAGCAGCACAAGTATCTAAGTAACATTCTTCAGGCCTAATCAACATCCAGGCTCTGTTTGGAGGGTGTCTAAGTTACATTGGGGGGAGATGCTGAAATTAATTTGTTAGACCAACTTTCTCATGCTGAGTAAGGATTATAAAATGCACAGTCACCTATTGTTTTGCTTCTCTTCTGACTGCCTTCTTCAGACCACCTTGCTACTCATTAGCACTTCAGAAATGCATAGAAGGGGAGAAGAATCTTAAGTCAGTCGCTCTTTAAAACAGTCTCCGAGAGGCTTGAGCATGGAATTGCATTGGCACAGTTGCTAATTGAAACGGGCTGTGTCTCTTCTCTGCGGTCTTTCTGTCTTGTTGACTGGGAATTGAGAGTGCCTGGTCTTCTTCTTGATGGCTTTGAGTGTTTGTATTTTGAGTGTCGTGAAAATGATCGACTGTTTCTCTTCAGTATGCTCTGTTGTCACTAGCTGTATAGCTATGCTCACACGGCTTTTATAAATACTATAAACTGTTTCCTTGTTTTTTCCAGTTGAGACACCTAGGAAATGATGAAGTACACATTGTTTGGTCAGAACATACTAGAGACTACAGAAGAGGAATTATTCCTACAGAATTTGGCGATGTCCTCATTGTTATATATCCAATGAAAAACCATATGTTCAGTATCCAGATCATGAAAAAACCAGAGGTGAGAACTCCGCTTCTGCCTTAGTAATAGATTTTCCATTGTAAAATAGGGGGAAATGCCACAGACTCTGTAGCTGTGTCGATTGTCTTAAGCCTAGTTAGAAAGATCAACCCAGCTAGGGAGACAGCTGGGTGGGACCTGGGTGGAAGTTCCTTTGTGCTTAGCTCACCATTTAGTGACACAGAAAACAGTTACAGTTCCCAAAAGGCACAGTAAGAGCAGCCATCTGTTAGTGAGGTATAGTCTTAGTCCAGCAGAGCAGAGGCAAGATCAGTCACCACAGGTTCAAGGCTAGTCTGTGCTGCTTATTAATGAGCCTCTATGCAAAAAATAATTTTAAGATAATAAATGAAATGCCTGCAAATATTTTTAGATGTTAAAGAGACATTACCTATCCTCCAGTTGCGTATCTAACGTACATATTAGATGTACCACAGTATTTCAACAACTATTTCACCAGTATTTCTTTCTAAGATAATAGAAGTTTGGCATTATTTTCATGTGTTCTTTTTTTTAAAATGAATGCTTTTAATAGAAAATTGTTTTGACAGTTGATTCAGAATCTTCAGAATTTCTTGAATTGGGCCAAGTTTCCATCTGTAAATTTTTCTGAATGACAAGTATTTTTTAAGGTTTATATAAACCAGAAGTCAGCTCATGACAGGCCACAACCTAATTTTGAGTAGACTACAAACTGAGAATGTTTTTTATATTTTTCAAGCATTTTTACAAAAATTGTAAATTTTACAAAAGTGAGATATCATATGGCCACAAAGTTTAAAACACTGTGTCATCCACAGAGAATTGTCTTGCCTTGAGCTACCATTTTTATCAGCCATATTTAATAGTTTTTTGTTTTTTGTGCCTTACACCCAGCTAGGTTAGCACTTTACCACTGACCTATATACATCACAGTTCTAAATTGTCAACTAATAAAAGTGACCATTAGTTATCAAAGCACAGATTTTGCTTTTTAACTGACCAAGCCAAGTGTGTCTTAGGTTCTATACTTACTTTGTGTCACTCTGACAAAATCTTGGAAAACATGCTACAAGAGGAAAGATGTATATATTTTGTCTCATAGTTTCAGTCCATGGTCTTTTGGCTTCTTGCTTCTGTGCCTTTGGGTCAAAGCTCTCGTGACCCAGTCTCTTCCCAGCGCTACCCTTCTAAACATGTTCCTGGGAACGAAGCATTCAGCATGAGTTTGGGGAAGACATTTAATGTCCAAACCATAAGGATAAAAAAAACTGGTATCTCACAAAAATGATCATCTAACTGCCTACCTTTAAGAATGTATGTCTTTTCATATGTTTACTTAGTAGAGGAATTGATTTGTGTGTGTGTGTGTGTAGCTGAAATTACAGAACTTTAGAAACTGGCAGAGGATATAAATTACATAATTACACAAAGTACATAGTTCTTTTGAATAGACACCCTGTTGACCTTGGGCATTTTGTTTGTTGTCCTAGTATGGGTGATGCATCATGTAAAGAACTGAATTTGAATGTTTTTAATTGAAAGAACAACCAAAGAGGAAGCAAAAACATATGTGTGCGAAAGATCTTGTTTGTTTTACTCCAGTCTTTCTACAGTTAAAGTTGTGTTCTGATCTTTCCATCAGGTTCCCTTCTTTGGTCCACTTTTTGATGGTGCTATTGTGAATGGAAAAGTTCTGCCCATCATGGTTCGATCCACAGCAATAAATGCTAGCCGTGCTCTGAAATCACTGATTCCATTGTATCAGAACTTGTATCCTTTCTTAACTGTGTGGTTAGGACACTAGTGTACATCTGCTTTACAAAAGGTAAAGGTATCTTATGTGTTAAGACTCAAGCGTTTCTGTTTCTTGAAGTGGCAGAGTTCCTCCCTAGTGACTGAGTAGTTGTTTTATTTAAATGGCTTGTTTTCTTACATACTTTTAATAAATATTAATCTTTGACCTAGTTAGTTAAATGGAATCATGTATCATGCTCTGGGCTGCTCTGGAGGTGCAGAAATAAAACAATCATTGAAAAGAATTCAGTCTACATGGAAAAACATTTTCTTCATTACTGTATTTTAAAAGAGGAGTGTGCAGGATGTATACTAATAAGGGGCCTGCCACTCAGCTGGAAGTGTGTGTCCAGAAACACTTAGAAAAATGATTGAGCCAGTCTTAAATGATGAATAATCAGATGGAAGAGAACCTTCTAAACCAGGTGCAGCATACTGAGGAGACATGCAGGTGTGAGAAGATGGGGAATGCTTAGGAACATGATGTATGGAGCCAGTCTGTCTGATCAGGTGCTGCCAATCTGGAGCTGGATAGCCTCCCTGAGCCCGGGCATACTTGCCTAGGGAATGAACTCAGTACCAATAACTACCTCGTGATCTTGGTCAGGCTACAGAACCAGGTTTTGTTTTGTATTGTTTTGTTTCTCTTCTCTTCTTTTCAGCGTCTAGAATTAAACCCAGGCATTGAGCATACTAGGCAGACACTCTACCACTGAGTCATAATCCAGTCCAAGTTACGGTACCCTTGAACCTCACTTTCTTTATCTATAAAAGGATTGCAATATTATGTCAGCATTATTATGAGTGCTCAATCAGATTTTATGTAGTTATTAATTATACTGTTTATAAGTATTACAGTCAATATAAAACATCTCCACCCAAGATTAAGGAGTTGCTTAATTGAAGCTTTTATATTAGGCTGATTAGTTGCTTAAAGTGAATTCTCAGTTTTACTTTATGACATTTTTAGTATTTTATCATATTGAGATAATGGTTGCCACATTCAAAAATATTCTAGAATGAAAAAAAATAATTTCTGCTCATGGTAGGCATGAAAACTTTTTTTAAAACATCAAATCTGAACAGTTCCTATCAACAGAATCGCTTGTAGAATACTTAGAATGGGGTGCTTAGTAGTTAAGATCGTGTACTGCTTTTGCAAAGGACCTTATTTGGTTCCCAGCACACACATCATACAGCTCACAACCATCTGTAATTTGAGCTCCAGAAGGTTCTGATGCTTCTGGCCTCTTCAGGAACCTGTACTCATTCACACACACACAATTAAAAATATTTTAATGTAATGTGAAAACAAGAAAAAAAGCAACTTTTAAAACTCTAGAAATGACAGAGACATCTCGCTGCCTGGACAGTCACCCAAAGTTCCTCTGTACTGTTGGGGCAACCATCTTCAGCCTTCAGGCCCATGGTATCCAGCAGACATAAAGCAGGAAAATTCAAAGTCAGTTCAGTCACTATCTGTTGTGTCCTGCAGAATGTCTCGCAGACTCTTTCATGAATCAGGAACCCTGAAAGATCATCTCACCTTAGGCAAGTTCAGTAGTCCTCTCTCTGTGGGTTCTCTGTGTCCAGTTTATGCAATAGTCCAGGCAAGAGCAGTTTCTTGCCCAAATGGCTATCAAACTCCATAACGAGCCTCTTCGATGCCCATCTTCCTCTTGAAGTAGATTGGTACTGCCAGGAGCAGAGTGTCTCATTGTCATGAAAAGTCCTAAGTTATTAAAACATTTAAAATGCCATATTCTATAATCTTTGAAAAATATGAAGAATGCCTATCTAAAATATATCTACGCACATCTAGAAAATATTAACTAACATGACTACAAACTTGACTATTATTTATGATTATTCATCAACAACCTATATTTCCTAATTATACATTACATTTTAATAATGAACTACACAATCACAATACCTTAATCAATATCAGAAATACATATACATATAACAAAATTGACCGTAAATCTCTATCAATAAAGCAAAATCTATACTAATGCAAATTATTCATACCTATATCATATCCCCCTTTAAATGTAAAAGAACATTTATAAACATATTTTGGGAATATGGGCACAGTTATTTCTCTCCAAACTGCTTCCTGCTGAATGGGGGCGTCGTTAATTAGGTCTTTCATGGTATAACCTGTGTGCTAGTTTCATCTCAGTTGGCAGTTGAGCGTAGCAATTTTCTGAAGGTGTTCACACCAACCCTTCAGAAGGGCGTGGTCCATCATACCAAATTGGAATAGAAGAAATGAACAGGGTCTCATCCTCTGTAAAAACAAAATAAGAAACTCCTTTCCAAAGCATCATGTCCTTAGATCCAAATTTCAAAGTCAAGGTATCAAAATATCTATGTTGGATTAGTTCGGCAGCATTTATAAATAAATATCTTATAGCATCTGTTGCTCCTTCCTCAGCATTTAAATAATTTAAAGAGAGCATAATAGCATACAGTATCAAAATTCTCTGTGTATTTTCCATCTTTGTGCAGCTTTGTTTTAACCTCTATTTTGTTTATTTTTACTTTTAACTCTTTGCTTTTTGAGACAGGTTCTCTGTATCTTTGACCTGAAGTAACTCTGTAGACCAGGCTGTCCTTGAACTCTCAGAGATCCGCCTGTCTCTGCCTCCCAGGCATTGGGATTAAAGGTGTACACTAGGACACCTTGAACTCACAGAGAACTGTTTGTCTCTGCCTTCTAGGCACTGGGATTAAAGGCATGTGCTACCACACCTTGAAGTCACAGAGGTCAATCTCCCTCTGCCTTTCAAGTGTTGGGATTAAAGGTGTGTACTACCACACACAACAACTCTCTTCCTTTTTTTTTTTTTGTTTTTTACTTTAAGAATTTTACATTACATTAAAATAGTATACATTACATAGTATACCAAACAATTTTTTTCCAAGGCGTAGAAAATTATTTATTCACACAATTTAACAGTAGTTGGCCTTCCATATCCATGAGTTCCTCATTTGAAAAAAATTCATCCAATTTTATGTGAAAAATATTTAGGAAAAAAAATGACTTTTGTTTTATCATTATCCCCTTAACAGCATAGTGTAACAACTATTGATATGCTACTTATATATTTATTACTATAAGTAATACAGAAATTTGATTATATGCAAATACTTTACCATTATACAACGGGGACTTTAGTGTCCACAGATTTTTGCTATCCATGGTGGTTCTTGGGTGGGAAAAATACCCTTACATACCAAGAGAAATATGTAATAATATATATTCCTATTGTTTGTTAACTAAAGAATATTCTATTGTGTGGGGTTGGGAGGATCACTTCAGATCAAGAATTGAACATAAACCACATCCCGAGTGACCCCAGCTCAGAAGCGTGAATGAATGAATGGAAGTAGGGAGGAATGTGTGGGAAGTAACGCCTTTACTTGATTTTAGCATGAAGGGTTATATAATAAATTACAACTGGATACTTGATTTACAGGTATTTAAGTATAGGGATATCTGTTCATTTTAAGAACATTCTGGTTTCATAAATGTGTCAAATTTTAAAATGTATGTTTTTGACATCAGATTTTCAGTGAGGAGAAAATTGTGTATTCTAAAATATACTTAACATGAATTATATCAATACACTTAACATAAATGTTAGTAGGAATTGAAATAGAAGTCAGTTTTGAAAGCCACCAGAGCTAATACTTTAATCCTCATCAAAGAAGTGAAGAGGTAGAATGTGATAAACTCAGTTGTAATTACACTGCTGGGTCAGTTATCTCATGCCCAGTAATAGTACCTACTAAGATTCCACAGCATACATTGTGCTATTTATGATCATTAAATGGAGTTTAAATTCTATCCTAGGAGCATCTTCTCTAACCATGAATCTAATGTTCAGAAAATGAGGACAGTATTGATTGTCATATGCTGCCCAAATCGATCATGCTAGCGACCAGAATTACAGTAATCTGTCAGTATTGATGACTGTCTTTCAAGCTTTGAAACCCTCTCTCACTTCACTTGTTGTTTCTTACATGACTTGTACTTGAGAAACATTTTCATGCAACCTCTGATTTTGTCAGCTAGGTACTTTCGTCTCTTCAGCTCAATTTGTTGGTTTGATCATACAATTAGAATTGAATTGGCACACTCGGGTCAGACTCTGGGTGGCCGCCGAGCCAGAGGAATGAGTGCTTCAAGTCTCTTAGGCCGTCACTGGATCAGCTACCTCAAAAGAGTTCCAGTTGGTTTGCTTAGTTTTAGGTTTTACAATGGAAATAATTCTAAAACTTTTATTTAAAGGCCTTACTAGTTGTGACTATTCCTTAAGTAAAAAATTTTAAAGAAATCATTTTGATCCTTAAGATTCTTAAGTTTCACTGTGACTCTAAACATACGTGTGTTTAGTATAGTGCTGCCATTGTTGTGCTTTCTGTTTCAGAGTGGGGTTTTGGAACATGTAGGAATTTTCAGAATTTGTAGTGTATGATCACATTAATAAACCCAGAGCTCCACTCTCTTAAATTAACTGATACATTTTCATATAACCCACACAAATTCCCTTTATATGTTAATCATCTTTAGATTACTTATGATATATAATACAATGTAAATGTTACATAAATAATGAGAAAGGTGCACTTTAAGGAATTGGCTTCCCTGGCTGTGGGGATTGGCAAGTGAGTACCAATTCTGTAGATCTAGGAAGAGCTGATGTTGCTGTCAGTCTTAAGTCATCTAGCAGTAGAATTCCTTCTTTTCTCAAGTGGCCTCAGGTTGTTCTCAAAAACCTTGACTGGATGAGGCCTCCCTATGTTACAAAGGTGAAGGGCTTTGCTTGGGTTCACTAATTTAGTAGACAAAATAGTCTGCTGTTTAGAAAAACACTGTGTCTGTGACCAGCCAAGTTGACATACAATATTCACTAACATATTATGATTTGCTTTATATCTTAAATGTTGATGTATTATTATACTTA